CTTATTATTAGGATGTGCCAGATTTGAATTTAGTGATAAAGATATTAAAGATTTAAAAGGAACTATTAGTGGTCATGCTTATAGTATTTTACGTACTGCTGAGACTGATGATGGTATTAAACTTTTACAAATAAGAAATCCTTGGGGAACAGCTGAATGGAATGGTATGCCATTCAATTAAAAGTTTATATAAATTTTTTATCTTTTATAATATATTTCCCATAATAGTATTTTCTAATTACATTACTATTTATTTGAAAAAAGGTGCTTGGAGTGATGGGAGTAAAGAATGGACACCTGAACGTATGATTCAACTAAACCACAGATTCGGTGATGATGGTACTTTCTGGATGTGTTATGATGATTTCCTTAATTATTGGGATATGATTGATAAATGTAGATTATTTGATTCAAGTTGAACTGTTTACATGACTTGGATTAATTATAATGTTGTACCAAGGTCTAAAGGAAAGTTTAAACTAAGTTTACCTGAAGAATGTCATCTGATTATAGTTCTTCAACAACCTGATGATAGATATTTTTGTAATGAACCTAAATATGAGTATGTATTTTCTCTTCATTATTAATTTCTTTTTGTTATTACTTGTTCATCTTAATAATAATATCTATTGTTTTAAAAAAAGTTATCAATTAAGTTTCCATGTATTCAAAGACGGTGAAACTTCTTCTTACTTAGCCCGTAGTCGTTCGACATTTGCTTTCGCTTCTCGTAGCATAAACCATGAAGTTAAACTTCCAGCTGGTGACTATGTAATTATTCCACATGTAAACCGTGAAACTATTGACTGAACTGAGGAAGATCAAGAACCAAAGAAAGAAAAAGATTCGGAAATTGAGGCTAAAAAACGTAAGGAAAAACGTATCAAGAATCTTGCATTTGGACTGGACGCTAATGATGATGATGATGATGATGTTGATGATAATGATGATGATGAAAAAAAGGATGATAAGGAAAAGAAAGATGAATGGGAATTGCAACTGGGATTAAGAGTTTATAGTAAATACGCAGGAATTAAATTGGAAGGACTTCCAGGTGAATTCCCAAAAAAGAAAGATAAAAAGAAGAAAAGGCTGAAGAAAAAGATCCAGAGGTTGATACTAAAGTTATTAATCCTAAAGATGATGAGAAAAAAGATGAGAAAAAGGATGATGAGAAAAAAGACGAAAAAAGGATGATGAGAAAAAGGACGATGAGAAAAAGGATGATGAAAAAAAGGATAAATGAGAATAACGACCAATTTATCATTATAAAATTTGAAATCATTTCATTTGTAAATTTTATACTAATACTAAATCTATCTATCTATCTAACCGAATATAAACATATTTATGTCAGCTCATCTTTAATATTTCTATCTAATTCTGTTTTATATCCATATTTATATTTACAAAATTTATTTCATATGATTCGATACCTTTATTAACCCGTGTACTCATAATAGTAGGGTTGTAAATTATTGTAATTTTGCATAAATATTTCTAAAATATTACTGAAATATTACTGAAATCAAAATTTTCTTATAATTTTATCATTTCGCAGTTTGTACACTATTAAATGTATTGGCACTTAAACCAAGAAATTAAAATGATCACGATACTTGTATTTATAAAATGGTACTCAATTATAATATAAATATTGATCTTGTCAATTAATTAAGTTTGCATCCAGATTTATTCATTTATATCCGGATTTAATCAGTATAACTGTTAGAGAATTATACATAAATATATTGATAAGCTACGAATATATATGTCATTATTTGGTTAAAAATAAAGTCTAAAAAAAAAAGCTTTAAAGGATGAATTCGAAAGTTTTGAATAAAATTATACAAATTTGGGAACGGGATTTCTTGCTGAGACTTTGTAAATATGGCCAAATTTATATTTACAGTGTAATAATCCTGTTTGATTATTGCTTAGTTGCTACATTATTACCATTTGAATATCTAATACAATTTATTATTATAACCATGATTAATGTTAGTTTATGCTTAAAATAAGAAATATACAGTTCAATACAATATATTCTCTCATCTGTAATCATATTACTATTTAATCACATACTTTGTAAAGTCAATGCTTTACTAATAAATTGAGTTAATAGTCGACTAGAATAAATTGCTTGATCATTTATTTTAGTTGGCAAACTACTTGTATCTATATTTTCTGAAAATTTTATTTCGCCTTTACGTGCTTTTTCATAAAGTTGATCCAATACATTTGCTGGACCATCATTTTGTAAGCCAATGAGTCTTTTTATTCGACCAGTATATTTTCCTTTTTCTGGGTTTGCAAATTGGTTTGCAAATTTTCTTTTTTCAGGATCCTGATGCCAACATGTTTCCATTAATTCAATTAAATCTTGAGGAATGTTAGATGGAATTTTTGAGCAAAGACCATTAAGAATATCCAGAATAAGATATTCATCATGTTTACGGTCAGAAAATGGCCTGCAGCCACTTATTACCTCCCAAATAATTATACCAAAACTATAAATATCTGAAGCTTGTGTAAACTTTCCTCCTTTGAACACCTCTGGTGCAACATACAGAATAACACCATAGATTGCATTATTATCTGACAATTCATTTATTGGTTTGCTTATTCCTAAATCTGCAATTGTTGGTATTTTATCAGAAGAATATCTATTACTGCCAATAAGAATATTGCCACTATGAAGATCACGGTGAATAATTTTATTTTGGTGTACTAAATTAAGTCCGGCTGAAATTTTATGTAACAGTTGTAATTTTGCTGGCCAGGATAGAGTATTTTTTCTATTTAAAAAATAATGTAGGTCTCTATTCTGCGCAAATTCTATAACTATTATATAATTTTTTGTTTTAGGATGTTGCGTGATGCCAAGATATTTATGAAGATTACTAGTATCACTATCACTTTTTTTGCATTGAAAAAAGTTTTTTAGCTAAAATAACAAATAAAATAATATAGTAGTAAGTTTTAAATTTTAAATTTAATTAAATCATTATAAAAATATTATATAGAAATATATGGGGGGGGGTGCCAGTAGAAACCAAGCAATTTGTTTTTAGTGTGTTTTTTTAAAAATTTAAATTAAAATATCTCAACAACTATTAAACCAAACTTGATAAAATTTTTTTTATTTTAATTCTATAACTATATAAAATTAAAATAAAAAAATTTTTATCAAGTTTGGTTTAATAATTGTTGAGATATTTTAGTTTAAAGTTGAAAAAAAATTTACTTAGAAACAAATTGCTTGGTTTCTACTGGCACCCCCCTATATATAGATCTCATTTAAATAATCAGCATTCATTTTTTCAGAATTATTCAGAATTTTAAGAACAACATCATAATTTTTACTCTGTCTGTATTTTTGCTCCTTAAAACGCCATTGTTGAATAGGACCATCAACTCAATTTGCTTTATATATTACACTAAACCCTCCTTTAGCAAGGTATTCGATATTAGTAAATTGCTCATATGGATTAAATTCTAACCTTGATTTATTTCTACAGTTACTATAAAAAGTTTGTGTTGATTTGATAAAATCGTCTATTAATTTATTACCACTTAAAATTCGTAATGAGGCACGATAACAATCCTTATATAGATTGGAATTTATATCGTAGTAATATTTTCTTAAATTATATTTCTTGCATTTTGGATATCTTGAATTTTTTTTCCGCCTAGAGACAAGTGGGACTGGATGTTCATTCTTTTTAACTAAATTTATATCATGTTGTTGTAAAGTATTAATTTGTTCCTCACACTGTTGAGCATTATAAATATTTAGTAAACTTGTATTAGTCTGATCTTGAGTAAAGCATGTTGTCAATAAATGTTCAGTAAATTTATATTAGATTAATCTTGAGTAAAACCTACAGTCCATTCTGTAGATAGATTCTTGTTAATATTTTGTGAGCTTTCTTCGTTATACATTATACAACTAATTTAAAACGTTATTAGAAAATTACATTTATGATTTTGATTATAGACAAAGTAGCTTTCGAATTTGGTCAATTTATATAGAATTCGTATTTCACAATGGAAGACTCCAATTCAAGTAGATCATTCCATATTTAAGCATTACAGACTCAAGAATTCTTCCATGACACAAAAAATATATTCTTAGAATATTCTATACTCGTGAAGTTCCACATGCAGGCTGAGACAAGCACGAAAGACCTTTTTTATTATAAATATACGGAAAAATACATGTAAGAATTTTTACGTGTGGTTTATGCATGTGAAAGGACACAAACACGAATGACCTTTTTTTATTAACAACTAGAACTTGCGAATGCGGGCGGCTTCGCCGCCCGGTATCATTATTTAAAATCATTAGTTTTTATTATTCACATGAATTTAAAATAAATACAGTCGTCCTCCTCTACAGTCACCTCCAATATAGTTACACCCTCTTTATAAGCACTATTTTTTGAAAATTATTAGCAATTTACTTATTAATAAAAACTTTATATAATCACAATACTATTAAAATTTTATAATCACATCTTTTTTATGTAAA